AGTCATTCGCTGCTGTTCTTAGGTGGAAGTGGGGTTGCTCTTAGGCTCGTCTGATGACAAACATGAACAAAGGGAGCCTTTTGAGGCGCCTCAAAAGTCATGACAGTCATTCGCTGCTGTTCTTAGGTGGAAGTGGGGTTGCTCTTAGGCTCGTCTGATGACAAACATGAACAAAGGGAGCCTTTTGAGGCGCCTCAAAAGTCATGACAGTCATTCGCTGCTGTTCTTAGGTGGAAGTGGGGTTGCTCTTAGGCTCGTCAGATGACAAACATGAACAAAGGGAGCCTTTTGAGGCGCCTCAAAAGTCATGACAGTCATTCGCTGCTGTTCTTAGGTGGAAGTGGGGTTGCTCTTAGGCTCGTCTGATAACAAACATGAACAAAGGGAGCCTTTTGAGGCGCCTCAAAAGTCATGACAGTCATTCGCTGCTGTTCTTAGGTGGAAGTGGGGTTGCTCTTAGGCTCGTCTGAAGACAAACATGAACAAAGGGAGCCTTTTGAGGCGCCTCAAAAGTCATGACAGTCATTCGCTGCTGTTCTTAGGGGGAAGTGGTGTTGCTCTTAGGCTCGTCTCATGACAAACATGAACAAAGGGAGCCTTTTGAGGCGCCTCAAAAGTCATGACAGTCATTCGCTGCTGTTCTTAGGTGGAAGTGGGGTTGATCTTAGGCTCGTCTGATGACAAACATGAACAAAGGGAGCCTTTTGAGGCGCCTCAAAAGTCATGACAGTCATTCGCTGCTGTTCTTAGGTGGAAGTGGGGTTGCTCTTAGGCTCGTCTCATGACAAACATGAACAAAGGGAGCCTTTTGAGGCGCCTCAAAAGTCATGACAGTCATTCGCTGCTGTTCTTAGGTGGAAGTGGGGTTGCTCTTAGGCTCGTCTGATGACAAACATGAACAAAGGGAGCCTTTTGAGGCGCCTCAAAAGTCATGACAGTCATTCACTGCTGTTCTTAGGTGGAAGTGGGGTTGTTCTTAGGCTCGTCTGATGACAAACATGAACAAAGGGAGCCTTTTGAGGCGCTTCAAAAGTCATGACAGTCATTCGCTGCTGTTCTTAGGTGGAAGTGGGGTTGCTCTTAGGCTCGTCTGAAGACAAACATGAACAAAGGGAGCCTTTTGAGGCGCCTCAAAAGTCATGACAGTCATTCGCTGCTGTTCTTAGGGGGAAGTGGTGTTGCTCTTAGGCTCGTCTCATGACAAACATGAACAAAGGGAGCCTTTTGAGGCGCCTCAAAAGTCATGACAGTCATTCGCTGCTGTTCTTAGGTGGAAGTGGGGTTGATCTTAGGCTCGTCTGATGACAAACATGAACAAAGGGAGCCTTTTGAGGCGCCTCAAAAGTCATGACAGTCATTCGCTGCTGTTCTTAGGTGGAAGTGGGGTTGCTCTTAGGCTCGTCTCATGACAAACATGAACAAAGGGAGCCTTTTGAGGCGCCTCAAAAGTCATGACAGTCATTCGCTGCTGTTCTTAGGTGGAAGTGGGGTTGCTCTTAGGCTCGTCTGATGACAAACATGAACAAAGGGAGCCTTTTGAGGCGCCTCAAAAGTCATGACAGTCATTCGCTGCTGTTCTTAGGTGGAAGTGGGGTTGTTCTTAGGCTCGTCTGATGACAAACATGAACAAAGGGAGCCTTTTGAGGCGCTTCAAAAGTCATGACAGTCATTCGCTGCTGTTCTTAGGTGGAAGTGGGGTTGCTCTTAGGCTCGTCAGATGACAAACATGAACAAAGGGAGCCTTTTGAGGCGCCTCAAAAGTCATGACAGTCATTCGCTGCTGTTCTTAGGTGGAAGTGGGGTTGCTCTTAGGCTCGTCTGATGACAAACATGAACAAAGGGAGCCTTTTGAGGCGCCTCAAAAGTCATGACAGTCATTCGCTGCTGTTCTTAGGTGGAAGTGGGGTTGCTCTTAGGCTCGTCTGAAGACAAACATGAACAAAGGGAGACTTTTGAGGCGCCTCAAAAGTCATGACAGTCATTCGCTGCTGTTCTTAGGTGGAAGTGGGGTTGCTCTTAGGCTCGTCTGATGAAAAACATGAACAAAGGGAGCCTTTTGAGGCGCCTCAAAAGTCATGACAGTCATTCGCTGCTGTTCTTAGGTGGAAGTGGGGTTGCTCTTAGGCTCGTCAGATGACAAACATGAACAAAGGGAGCCTTTTGAGGCGCCTCAAAAGTCATGACAGTCATTCGCTGCTGTTCTTAGGTGGAAGTGGGGTTGCTCTTAGGCTCGTCTGATGACAAACATGAACAAAGGGAGCCTTTTGAGGCGCCTCAAAAGTCATGACAGTCATTCGCTGCTGTTCTTAGGTGGAAGTGGGGTTGCTCTTAGGCTCGTCAGATGACAAACATGAACAAAGGGAGCCTTTTGAGGCGCCTCAAAAGTCATGGCAGTCATTCGCTGCTGTTCTTAGGTGGAAGTGGGGTTGCTCTTAGGCTCGTCTGATAACAAACATGAACAAAGGGAGCCTTTTGAGGCGCCTCAAAAGTCATGACAGTCATTCGCTGCTGTTCTTAGGTGGAAGTGGGGTTGCTCTTAGGCTCGTCTGAAGACAAACATGAACAAAGGGAGCCTTTTGAGGCGCCTCAAAAGTCATGACAGTCATTCGCTGCTGTTCTTAGGGGGAAGTGGGGTTGCTCTTAGGCCCGTCTCATGACAAACATGAACAAAGGGAGCCTTTTGAGGCGCCTCAAAAGTCATGACAGTCATTCGCTGCTGTTCTTAGGTGGAAGTGGGGTTGCTCTTAGGCTCGTCAGATTACAAACATGAACAAAGGGAGCCTTTTGAGGCGCCTCAAAGGTCATGACAGTCATTCGCTGCTGTTCTTAGGTGGAAGTGGGGTTGCTCTTAGGCTCGTCTGATGACAAACATGAACAAAGGGAGCCTTTTGAGGCGCCTCAAAAGTCATGACAGTCATTCGCTGCTGTTCTTAGGTGGAAGTGGGGTTGCTCTTAGGCTCGTCTGATGACAAACATGAACAAAGGGAGCCTTTTGAGGCGCCTCAAAAGTCATGACAGTCATTCGCTGCTGTTCTTAGGTGGAAGTGGGGTTGCTCTTAGGCTCGTCAGATGACAAACATGAACAAAGGGAGCCTTTTGAGGCGCCTCAAAAGTCATGACAGTCATTCGCTGCTGTTCTTAGGTGGAAGTGGGGTTGCTCTTAGGCTCGTCTGATAACAAACATGAACAAAGGGAGCCTTTTGAGGCGCCTCAAAAGTCATGACAGTCATTCGCTGCTGTTCTTAGGTGGAAGTGGGGTTGCTCTTAGGCTCGTCTGAAGACAAACATGAACAAAGGGAGCCTTTTGAGGCGCCTCAAAAGTCATGACAGTCATTCGCTGCTGTTCTTAGGGGGAAGTGGTGTTGCTCTTAGGCTCGTCTCATGACAAACATGAACAAAGGGAGCCTTTTGAGGCGCCTCAAAAGTCATGACAGTCATTCGCTGCTGTTCTTAGGTGGAAGTGGGATTGATCTTAGGCTCGTCTGATGACAAACATGAACAAAGGGAGCCTTTTGAGGCGCCTCAAAAGTCATGACAGTCATTCGCTGCTATTCTTAGGTGGAAGTGGGGTTGCTCTTAGGCTCGTCTCATGACAAACATGAACAAAGGGAGCCTTTTGAGGCGCCTCAAAAGTCATGACAGTCATTCGCTGCTGTTCTTAGGTGGAAGTGGGGTTGCTCTTAGGCTCGTCTGATGACAAACATGAACAAAGGGAGCCTTTTGAGGCGCCTCAAAAGTCATGACAGTCATTCGCTGCTGTTCTTAGGTGGAAGTGGGGTTGTTCTTAGGCTCGTCTGATGACAAACATGAACAAAGGGAGCCTTTTGAGGCGCTTCAAAAGTCATGACAGTCATTCGCTGCTGTTCTTAGGTGGAAGTGGGGTTGCTCTTAGGCTCGTCAGATGACAAACATGAACAAAGGGAGCCTTTTGAGGCGCCTCAAAAGTCATGACAGTCATTCGCTGCTGTTCTTAGGTGGAAGTGGGGTTGCTCTTAGGCTCGTCTGATGACAAACATGAACAAAGGGAGCCTTTTGAGGCGCCTCAAAAGTCATGACAGTCATTCGCTGCTGTTCTTAGGTGGAAGTGGGGTTGCTCTTAGGCTCGTCTGATGACAAACATGAACAAAGGGAGCCTTTTGAGGCGCCTCAAAAGTCATGGCAGTCATTCGCTGCTGTTCTTAGGTGGAAGTGGGGTTGCTCTTAGGTTCGTCTGATGACAAACATGAACAAAGGGAGCCTTTTGAGGCGCTTCAAAAGTCATGACAGTCATTCGCTGCTGTTCTTAGGTGGAAGTGGGGTTGCTCTTAGGCTCGTCTGATGACAAACATGAACAAAGGGAGCAGAGGAGTGGGCTTATAAAAGCGTGTTTGCATTGGTGCGTTTGTGCATGTGCAGGGAACGACGCACCGGAAAACGGCAGGGACGAAGATGAACGAAAAGAGCAGCCGCTCGCATTGCGTCTTCATGTGTCACATTAAGAGCACGGTGAGTGCTGCTGACAGGGTTGAAGCACTGTGGGTGCTGCTAATAAGCCAAGGTGCAAGGGTGCGATCTGAATGGGCTCAGAAATAATTCTCAGATGCCCCTGTGTAACATTGGTAGCATTTACAGTGTGGTTAAGTTGGAAGCGTTGTGAGCACATTTAGTGCGCGCCTTTTACGTGCTTGCACTTTCTCGCATCACTTTGCTTCTATCACTTTCGCTATGTCACTTTCTCGTTTCACTCGCTTCTGTCAATTTCATATGTAACACCTTCTTACGTCACTTTCTTATGGCACACCCTCGTACCTCACTTTAGTGTGTGTGGAAATGTTTTCGAGTCGACTCAAAAGCTTTCTGTGGCACACCCTCGTACCTCACTTTAGTGTGTGTGGAAATGTATTCGTTTCTCTCCACCAATGCAGTGGACCTCCGGAGGCAACAGCTTTCAGCGCCTCAGTCAACTCAACCTTGTTGACCTCGCAGGCTCCGAAAGGTAACCTGTCCGCTTGGCTCACCCGATGGCACTCTGTAAGACTCCTGGTGTGTCACCCTGTAAGGCACTCACGATGACGAGTATGGTAGCGCACGTAATGCTGCTCATGTTCCGTACTTGTATCACTCACCACCACCCACATACTGTCCCCTCCCAGCCCCACTGATGCATTTCACTCCTCCCCACTCCTCCCCACCGGTCGCACGCAGTCAGGGACCACAGGGGATTTATCTGATATCGCGCCCATATTACCTGCCCTCCTCCACCCGATCTGTCCCACTCTCCTGCACTTCATCCCAGTCCACCGCTCTCCACCGCTCTCCACCCCTGTCAGGCAGGACTCGACAGGGGCCAAGGGACAACGGCTCAAAGAGGCGAACGCCATCAACAAGTCCCTCTCCCACCTCGGGTTTGTCACTTCTCTCCCTTGCTGTGCATGCTTCTCGAGTGCGTTATAAGCAAAAGACTAATCAAGGTGAACCTTGTGTCATGGAACTGTTCGTCTCAGCTGTTCCTGCTGTCCGATTCTGTGTCGTGGAGCTGCCGTGTTGTGGCCTAAACCTTGTGTCATGGAACTGCTGTGTCCGTTGCTGTGTCATGGAAATGGCTGCTGCTGTTGTGCTACTTGGGTGCCTTTTCTGTCCCGTGTTCATGCGTTGGTCTCCAGACTGGTGATGCTGAAGCTGGAAGAGGCGGCAGGAAAGAAGAAGTTGGAAGAGAAGACGGGGAAAAAGAGGCCTCCTGACCACGTGCCGTACCGTGATTCTAAGCTCACCCACCTCCTCAAGGTGAACAACCTTCTTTATTCTATTGAAATACCGATCAGTTCGTTTCTAACATTATAAAATAACACCTTTGTTCTTCCATTCGCTCCCCTTCATGACACCTCTGGTCTTCCATTCCCCACCATTTCACCTCGTGTGCAGGACTCCCTTGGCAGGGACTTGTTTGTCTACTCAAAAGCCGTCCCTCACCCTCTATCCTAACGCCTCTGTTTTAATGTTCACCACCATTTTCATCTCGAATGCAGGACTCCCTGGGCGGGAACTCAAGGACCACTATGATTGCATGCATCAGCCCGGCCGCAGAGTAAGTGCTGAGAGCTGCAGAGTAAGTGCTGAGAGCTGCAGAGTAAGTGCCGAGATTTCCGAAAGCTGCATCAACCCACTCGCAAGGTAAGTCTCTCCCTCATTTCTAGTGTCTCTTCCGTGTTGATTTGACTCACCTCCAGAAATTATCCCCATGCCATGCTTCTCGTGTCCCAACTGATCTACCTCATGTGTCGTCTGTCTCTCCCTCACCCACAGGTCGCACCACGAGTCGCTCAGCACGCTCAGGTTCGCAGACGGGGCAAGGAAGGTGTGCAACAAGGCAGTGGTGAATGAGGCCGCGGTGGGCCAGCAGGACGCCCTGCAGAAGGAAAACGCGCAGCTCAAGGTGCGATGCTCCCTGCCCTGATTTAGCGCCCTGCTCCTCATGATAACTGCTAGTTTAGGCATGTTGAATCCCTGCAGAGGGCCAGCCCAGCCCTTAACAAGGAGATTTCCCATCTCGACTAACTGTGCTCCCTGCCCTGCTGCCCTCCTTCCTTTCATGATTAGCGCTGTGCATTTCTTGCTTCTCTCTTCGCTGTGTGGCGTTGGTTAGTACTCGCATCCGTTCACTTCTTACTATCATCTAGCAGTTGCATATCCTCTATCCCGCTTCACTCCTCCCCTATGACGGTAATCAGCAACTGTGCAACTGTGGTGTCAAGTGAGGGGCACGCTTTTGAGAGTTCTCAAAAGCGACAGTAATTAGCAACCGTGCAACTGTGGTGTCATTATTGAGGGGGCGCGTGCTTTATTCCAGTCTGTCCTCCCTGGCACGCGCCTGCTTCATCCACCCCTTGCCTCCGTTCCTTTCACTTACCTCCCTCCTAGTTACCCTTCCTCTGTCGTTCCTCCCCCCCCTCTCATTTCCCAACCACACAGGACAAGATTCACCGCATGTGTGAGCTCTGCACCTGCGGAGCCCATCTGCGCCTGGGAGAGGGGTTAGCAACAATGGAGGAGGGGGAGGGCGAGGGGGAAGTGGTGGAGGGGGAGGAGGAGCAGCAGGCGGTAAGTGGGTTGGATGCTGTGAAGAGTGGTGCGGTGAGTGTGAAGGATCAGGCGAGCGCACTTCTGCAGCAATTTGCCTCTCATCTCATACCACGTCTCATGCCATCACTCACGCATCTCTTGCATGCATCCCCCCTGCCTCTGCCCTGTGTCAACACACACACCAGGTTAAAAAACCAGCACACCCCAAGGATTCAACGAGCTTTTGAACCCTTTCTTGCCGTCCCTCCCGTCCCTTCCCTCCCTCCCTTACCTTCCTTCCCTCTCCTCCCTCCCCTCCCTTCCCTCCCTCCCCTTACCTTCCCTCCCTCCCCTCCCTGCCTTCCCTTCACTCCCTCCCCTTTCCTCCTTGCCCGTCAGGAAACCGGCATCAACAGGAATCTTGAGTCAGCGTTTTCCTGTGCCAAGGGGCTTGACACTCCCCTTTCCACAAGGGGCATGGCTGCAGCAAGGAGGGGGGAAGCCGGAGGAGCTGAGGTGGCAGGCAAGGTGGCTGACGTGGTGGCAGCACGAGAGGAGAGAATGAGGGGGGGAGAGGAGGTGAGGAGGTTGACGGAAGAGAGGGATGAGCTTCTGAGGAAGGTAGAGGAACTGGAGCGAGTGGAGGAGAGGAGGGTACAAGAGGATGCGCTGTCACTTCAGGAAGCAGCGAGGGAGGTGAAGGAGGCACAGGAAGAGGCGGAAGCAGTGGCAGCGGAGAGATCGAGGGAGAATCTGGTGAGACAGGAGGAGGAGAGAATGAGAGAGATGCTGGCGGGGCGGAAGAGGATGGCGGAGGAGAGAGATGAGATCTCGAGGAAGGTAGAGGAATTGGAGGAGAGGGTTCGAGTGGCACAGAGGAGGGCGGAAGAGTATGCGCTGACATTGAAGGAAGCAACAAGGAAGGTGCAAGAGGCACAGGAAGAGGCGGCCGTGGCAGGGGAGAGAGCGCGAGAGCGATTGGCAGGGAAGGACGAGGAGGTAAAGAGGGTGAGGGAGGAGAGAGATGAGGTACGGCAACAAGTGGGTGAGCTGGTGAGGAGGGTAGAGAAATCGGAGGAGGAGAGAGGGCGAGTGTTGGAGGAGGTACAGAGGGTGAGGGAGGAGAGAGGTGAGGTACAGGAACAAGTGGGTGAGCTGGTGAGGAGGGTAGAGGAAGCGGAGGAGGAGAGAGGGCGAGAGGTGGAGGAGATGGTACCGCAGGCTATGTTGGAAGGGGTGGGTGAGATTGTTGCGTCTGGAAGTGTGGTGGCAGTAGTGCACAGAGAGGAGGTGGGGGTGAGCAGCCCTGCGTGTGTTGCTGTTGCAGCTGCTGTTGGAGGTGGTGGGTATTTGGGAGGCACGCCTGCAAGAGCATTACCAGGAGTGCCAGCAGGAGCACCAGCAGGAGTGCCAGTGGTGGATCTGACTATTGAGTCGGCTCAAAAGTCAGCAGCATCACCAGGAGTGACAATGCTGGAGATGTCTGACGAGGAGGCGTGGAGGTGGAAACAGCAGCAGCTGAAAAAGGTGGGTTTACTGGGGCCTGAAAGGTGGGTTCACTGCGAATTTGAATGGTTGTTTATTCTCTTTCTGACTTTGTCTATCCCGTGCTCTCTCCTGCACTCTCTCCCCTGATTTCCCCTGTGCTCTCTCCTGTGCTCTCTCCTGTGCTCTCTCCTGTGCTCTCTCCTGTGCTCTCTCCTGTGCTCTCTCCTGTGCTCTCTCCTGTGCTCTCTCCTGTGCTCTCTCCTGTGCTCTCTCCTGTGCTCTCTCCTGTGCTCTCTCCTGTGCTCTCTCCTGTGCTCTCTCCTGTGCTCTCTCCTGTGCTCTCTCCTGTGCTCTCTCCTGTGCTCTCTCCTGTGCTCTCTCCTGTGCTCTCTCCTGTGCTCTCTCCTGTGCTCTCTCCTGTGCTCTCTCCTGTGCTCTCTCCTGTGCTCTCTCCTGTGCTCTCTCCTGTGCTCTCTCCTGTGCTCTCTCCTGTGCTCTCTCCTGTGCTCTCTCCTGTGCTCTCTCCTGTGCTCTCTCCTGTGCTCTCTCCTGTACTCTCTCCTCATGCTACCATCAGGAGCATACGATGCACCGCGGGTTTCGCCATCTTCGCTCACAGCAGGACCTCCTCATTCGCAAGACTGAGACGTAAGCAGCACTGATGAAGGCTTAGCGGGGTTCTGTCCCGTTGGCCGAAACTAGTTTGCGAATAAGGGTTTTTCGAGTTTGGAGGCTTTGAGATTTTCTTTGAATTTCTAGGAACAAATTTTACAAGTCTTGATCCTATTGCTTAAGCGATTTCTTTAGGTTTGCTGCTACTCCCAATATGAGCTTCGCTCACAGCAGGACCTCTTCATTTGCAAGACTGAGACGTAAGCCCCTTCTCCCTTGCCCTCTCTGCTGTACTCCGCCTTTTTCCATACCCCCCCCGCTCCTCATGGCATCCGCCCCCCTCTTCTCCTTCTCTGCTCGGGACCTCCTCTCATTCACGAGAACGAGACGTGGGCCACCCTTTACTTCTCCCTTACCATCTCTGCCCCACTCCTCAAGTGAATCGGGAATAAGCCCTTGTAACTAATCAAAATGGCTGGATAGAGGCTCAATTGGCAATTCTGAATGCCACAGCATTGTGGCCCCATCACCCAACCCATCCAGGCCTCTGGTCGAGTTATTTCAAGTGGCTTCGGGCATTCCCAAAATTTACTTCATTCCAATCAACCCCCTATGCACTCTAGAGAATTGCAGATCATGTTTAGTGTTAAAGAGCTCGTTCTGCATTCCCTTTTCCTTATCCCCTGTCTTTCCGTCCTCTCACCATGACTGCAGGGCTTTGGAGGAGATGGAGCGGTTTCGTGTGGAGGTGGCGATGCAGAGAAGCTTGGCTGACCAGTGTGTGCAGAGGGAACTTGCGCTCTCCCAGGAAAACGCTCAGCTCAAGGTATGAAGTTTTTGCTGGGTGAAAGGAAGTGGTAGGGAAACAGCAGCTGGAAGTGCAGCAGCAGAAGCTGCAGCAGAAGCAGCAGCAGGTGGAGAAGGCAGAAAGGGCTCCCACCGCTTCACTTCGCAACCCATCCTCCCCTTCATCCCCCACCTGCACAACCAGCAACAACTGGCGAACGCGCAGCAGCAGCGTGGGAGACAGTTGAGGGCAAGCTGATGAAAACGGTACTCGAACCTGAGATACCTCATTCATCTCCTCAGCCTTTCTTTTCTCTGCTTCCTATGATGAATTACATTGTTTTTTAGATGTCTCCGAAACAATAATAAATCCACCTCGAACTTGAGCTCTCTCATTCATTTCCTCGGCGTTTCTTTTCTCTGCTTCCTTGTCTCTTCTTGTCCGCGTACCAGCAACACCTGCTGGACGTTCAGCAGCACCTGAAAATAGTGGAGGCCGATCGACAGGTGCTATTGAGGCTGCAAAACCTGAAGCAGCGCATGTAGTGGTTCGCCCACTTCATGCTTCAAGGTGAGGGGCGGAGGGGTCAGGGGGTGTAGTGTAGGCGAATGTGTGCTATTATTTGAGTGAACGAAAGCTGGTCTGGTGGGGCAGCACAGACTGAAGCAGCGCATTCAAGCGTTTGCAAAGTTCAAATTGCAAGACAGAGGGGTTGGGAAAGAGGATTTGTTTGCAACTGATTCTGTAAGACTGTTGTGACGAAAGGTTTTCTGGTGGAATGGAGTGGGTGGGGGAGCACAGCCTGAAGCAGCAGATTCAAGCGTTGCCAAGTTCAGGGATGGGGGTTTAGCGTGGTGTTGATTCAGAAAGGAATGGAAAAGAGGGCTTTATCAGATGGTGATTTGCTGTATGCAGCAGCTGCTGAGTTTGCATGACTGGTGCTTTTTGAGTTGGCTCTTACGGAACGAGGTGCTAGCAGCATTGAGGTGGAGAGTGGAGCAAATTCAACTGCAACCGGCGATGTCTGCCCCTCCGCCTAAACCCCCCAGTGGCTAAATCTTGTGAAAAACGCCACACAAGTGTGTAGCTGCATATGCTGACCCATCTCAGCATATGCCGCTGCCACATGTGTTGTGGCAATGGCTGCTGAACAGCCCGCATGCTGTGGCTGTTGCTGCACGAACTCAGATTGATGAGTGTGAGCTGGGTGGATCATGGCTGCATGAGCAGGGACCCATGGGATCATGGCTGCATGAGCAGGGACCCATGGGATCATGGCTGCATGAGCAGGGAAGCAGCAGTGAAGCGTGTGAGGCAGGGAGCGTGAGTCTAATGCTTGAAACACCCCTGCTGTTATGCTCCTCTTCCCCGCCTTCCACTCTCAAATCCATCTTCACAGTCGGGCTGCAGGACAAAGAAGAACGAGGAGCTCGCAGCAGCAGTGCAATGAAGGGAGGGGCAGGCAAAGGATCTGCAGGAGGGAGAGGGGGGATAAAGGAGAAAGACGGGCAGGCTTGCGGTTCGACTGTGATGATGATGAGGAGGTCTGGCTGTAGCAGAGTTGACAGGTTTCTGGCTGTAGCAGAGTTGACAGGTTTCTGCCGATTCACCCATATGGGCTGGAGGTGGGCTACATAATCGTATTTGTATTGTTGTAGCAGAGTTGACAGGTTTCTGGCTGTATCAGAGTTGACAGGTTTCTGCCAGTTCACTTCTATGGGCTGGAGAGTGGGGTATCATAATCATGTTTGTATTGACAGGTTTCTGGCTGTATCAGAGTCGACAGGTTTCTGGCTACAACACGTTACTCAAAAGCTTTGACATGGTTTACAAGCTACAGATCACCTGCAGCTGCCCACACCGTCTGACTTTCAAGTTGACTCAAATGTTACCTGCAGCTGCCCACACCGCCTACCAGTATTACTTTGGCCCCCATCCGGTCCCTACCTTCGCTCGCGAAACTGTCTCTCTGCCCATGCCTCTTCCTCTGGTGATGCAAATGCGAATCCATCTGCTACAGATGGACATCCAGAGCACAGTGGCAGCAGTAGCAGCAAACGCTGGAGAAGCAGCAGCAGCAGCAGCAACAGTTGAGCGCAGGGGTTTCTAAGTTCCAGTCTGTCAGTCGCCCCCCTTGCTGCACTGAACTCACTCACGGTCAGATTCAAGGCTGCAGAGGATGAGATCAGTGGCGTACCAGTGCAGCAGTGTGATGCTGCCACATCCCTTGCAGGTGGACAGCTGCTAACCTCTCCCGTAACTGCAAATGGCTAGCCAAAATGTGACGAAGCTACACCCTTGTGCTGTGATAGCAAAGAAGAGAAAGGGTTTCGTTGACAGCGATGACTGAATCATGGCAGGTGAACTCCAAATTAGGCTGCAAGGATTTTCTGAGAATTCTATACACCCTTGTGCTGTGATGGCAAAGAAGAGACTGGGTTTGGTTGACAGCGATGACTGAATCATAGCAGGTGAACCCCCAAATTAGGCCCTGCGGCTGTTTTTCCAGAGTTGGTAGAAACGTCTAGGGTACATTCCTACTCTCGTGTCGCCTCTTAAAGGACACATCCAGAATTACCGTGTCGGCCCCAAAACTGTCACCACTTTCACGTGATTGGTCGAAGGTTTTGAGTGGGTTTTTGACGCGATTGGTTCTCGGTTTTCCCACCGAACCTCCTTCTGGGGTTTTCCGACCCTACAATTTTTTCGTTGACTTCGTTGTGTAATTCGGGGTGTGGCCTTTAATCGAGCTGTGCTGTGATGATGGTATCTGATCGCAAGGTGTAATGCGGTGCAGCACGGTGTGACGCGAATTGGGATGCGAGGTGAGGTGTTGTTGTTGACGCGAGATAGGAATGTAACCTGGAGCCCTGGGTTAAATGAACAACCAAACTTCATTCCAGCAGGAATGGTGGACCTTGCTGTGTATAGTTGTACATATGTGTACGGTGACCATGTACGGTCATTATACCGTACTCTTGGCCTCAATTAATCTTGACAATCTGCTGCTCCATAGACGAGTTGGGAGACCACGGTAAACAGCAACTGTATCTAAATTTCGTAAGAGCATTGGGTGGCAGCCCTTTCTGCACTGCCCCAATAGGCTACAGCATGTGGTATGTGCCACATTCATATCAACCTTGATGCCATACTCATCCTTCCAAGCAGTCAGCCCTCCTGCCTTTTCACAGCAACTACCCTAGAATGTCAACGAAAGGGCCTGGCCCTGAAAACAGCTATTCATAGTATTTTGTACGGATATATAAGGGCATGATTGATACATATTCTTAAGATAGATAGGCTACATATTCTTAAGATAGATGGGCCCATACTGTCCATTTCCATCTAGTCTCGAGCGACCTCAACTTCCAGGAGTTCATGAGTCCCCTCCCTGTTAATTTCTTATACTGGTTGGTACTACATGTGTAAGACCAAAGTGGGCTTGCATCCACTTGGCAGTTGCTTTTTTTGGTGTGCGTGCTTGACAACAATGCCTGGTTACCTATCAGTGCGAGCCCTTTCTGGTGCTCATGTTCTATCCCTTTCTCTTTTCACTCCTTGCCTTTGTCTCCCTATCCTTGTTCCTCTATCCTTCCCATCTCGCCTCTGTTCGTCCACAACAAAGAATGCTGACCTGTGTGTGATTCGGGAGAAAAATGGCGTTGTTCACGTCATAAACATGCTTCCTTCTCCACTTCCAATCCGAATATTGACTCAATTCCTGCAATGGTGCATGAAAGTGACATTCCTGTAGCTACTTCCCCATGACACCTATAGTTAATTGGTGACGAGTATGCTGTTACATATGTAGTTTCCATGTAGAGCAAGTACAACCATATCCTTAATACCGTTTCCACCATACAAAACACCCGGAAAGGTTTAGCACCCCCAGGTGCTTGAACGGAAGGGGGTGATTTGTGCGATATACCTTTGCCCTGGCAAAGGCCAAAAGATTGCATTTCCTAGGTTTTAGCTTTCCACCAAACCCTCGTCTAGTTGTTTCGCCCTTCCACATGAGCACTTCTGCGCAATTGTGGCCTAAAAGTACGGAAGGTGCAGGCTGGAACGTAAGCGGCATCTCACTGTCAAACAACTTGCTTAAAATATACCCGACTTGGAGTTGTGATTGACCGTGCACCAGGCTCTCGGATTTCAGACCTTTTACACAGATTTAGCCCGATTTTCATCATACATCTTGTGGGCTCTGATATTTCAGGATACCGGTAACTAAATACCAATATGGGGGCTTTCCATGCACGCTATCGTTCTGTGGTGTGTTGGCAGAACAGATTTGCAGTCACACTTGTTGCCAACTAGGCTTAAGACACATCACAAGCATACGGGCGCATTCTCCGGGGGGGAAATGTAAACAGGAATGAATGGATGGCCCCATGGGTCTCGCTGTAGCTGGGTTGTACCCAGGAGAATGGCTGACATCCTAACACCTCAGGGCAGATGGGGAAATCTCAGGATTTAGAATACAACAATCAGAAAATACTGGCCATGTGCAATGGATACATTGAAACTTCAGGGAACAACTTAACCATTACCATGAAAATCCGGGTGTCTGTGATACATGGGGTGGTCTGTGGGGGTGGAGGTGGGCAGAGATGGGTTAGGTGAGAGGGATCAGTAGAGAGGGGGAATGTGAGGTTAGAGAAACAGGCTGTGGTATATGAGGGAGAATGTGAGATCAGAGAAACAGACTGTGGTATGTGAGGGAGAATGTGAGGTTACATCTTGCCTGAGATCTTTGCCAAGATGTCAGGCATGTGGTGGTGGTTGTTGTACAGGCTGTGATACATTGAGTGCTCTGGGGGTGGAAGGGGGTTGAGATGGATGGTTGAGAGGGATGGGTGAAAATAGAAAACAGTGCGGCAGTACAAAGCTGCTGCAGAAAACATGCACATTCCTGCGCGCAACTTTGAGTGTACGCGCAAGCAACTCCCACATTCCTCAACCCGCCTTTGGTACCCACCTCACCCTCTGACTACCCACCATCCCCTCTCACTATGCACCTCCCCCGTCAGTACCCACCTCCACATCTCACTATGAACCTTCCCCTGTCAGTACACACCTCCCCCAACATGCAAGGCAGCAGCGGCAATCCCAAGGTGCTGCAGGAACGGAGCATAGTCGCTGCCGCCGAGTCTGCCAAGCTGGTGGAAGATACGACATGACATTGATATGAGACGAAATGATATGGTATGATATAATATGATATGATACGATACGATACAATACGATACGATACGATACGATACGATACGATACGATACGACTACGATGCCATACACGATAAGATAAGATAAGATACGATACAATACAATATGATACGATATGATATGATGTGATGTGATGTGATGTGATGTGATGTGATGTGATGTGATGTGATGGTGCGCAGAACAGATATGAAGAGATGAAAGGAACGGCAAGGGGACATGCGTGTCAGATACATGTGGCATGCTGTGATTGGTTCTCCCAACCCACGAGTGGCTGGCCTTGCATGCACATCGTGCAACCAACTACCCGCTGGAGTACCACC